ATCCTGAAGTCTAGAAACGACGTTACAGGTTTGATCAAGAAGTTGCGGTGTTAAACTATTAGCAGTATAATGCTTTAATAGTTGTATTGGGTCGGTCTCTCTGGATTCACTCATTTGTGTATTAATATTGTAATAGGAAGCTTTCGTTATAATACTAATAGAGGTGAAATTACAGTATTTGTTATCGTTATATTTGCTAAGGGGCTTTTAAATCTATAGATCGATATAGTATTATCGTTATAAAAAAAAAACGCGACTAGTAAAATAAGGTAACGAAAAATGTGCTTTCCCACGTTCACCCCTTGTAATTTGTCCAATCTAATTTCAGGATCTGGTGTAACGTAAAAATCTAAAAAAATCGAAACAAACCACCTTACAGGAAGAGCTAATTAAAAATGTTCCTTGAAAGTACGCCAATTGGCGTCCCTGTCGAAAGGGTTGTTAAAAAAAAATAAAAAAAGTTCCTTGTGAAATTTTACTAAGAAACATCACGTTATCCTAGTTCTAACCAGGGACCCGGAAAAATATCGAATTGATTTAGCAAAAATTTATATCGATTTGGTCAAAAATATCGATTTGTATCGATTTACCCGATCGACCAATCAGAATGCAGGATTAGGAGTAACGTGATCAGGGCCGAAAAATATTTTTCGAATTTATTCTTGGGAATATTATTATAGTGCTATAGTGCCGTAGTGCTACCCTATATGTAAATACAAAATTGGTGTAGTATGTAAATCAAAACAATCTAATCTTTACAAAAAATAAAACTTTTAATTAGTTTAGTTTAAAGCAGGGGTTAAGATTAGGCAGAGCATAGATTATACTAAAATTTTGCAAGAAATTTTTTTTATTTTTTGTAGTCAAGGTTAGCCTCTTTGGCTTATTGCTTTTATTAGACTTATAGAATCATGTGGTGCTCTTTTTCAAGGAAGCCCCAGACAAGTACATTCTGACGAGAGTATATTTTAATCATATCTGCACCTTTTGAGCATCTAATTTAAGTAGTCTGCCTATTACTAGATTCTATACTAGATGCCATATTTATAATCCACTATTATTTAAGTTATCCAATTAAACCCTCTGATCCAAGTTTCCTATACCAATTTATCTAATCAATCAAAAAAATTTTTTTATTAAAATACAAAAAATGGTTTTTTAAATAAAATTTTGAGATATAATTAATTTTTTAAAGATTTTAATCATTTATCGCCTATGCGATATAATGCTACCCGGTTTTGTGTAACATAATTTACTATATATCTTATGATCGACAATAATATATTAAACTATTTAGTCATGTGTCATACTACGTACGTGCTTCTAATAGCTTCTAATATAACATAATTGTGACGTTCATTTATCAACTTTTCTAGTATAAATACTGCACTAATAAGTAAGGTAAGTTACGCTTTTGCAAAAAAATGAGTGATCAGTATAATTTAGAAAGTCAGGAAGCAGTTCATACTAATGTTGAGAATGAGGCTGTAAGTTTATTTAAAGGAAAAGTTCTAACAAGCTGGGAAACTTGTAATTCGTTTATAACTGAATGGGCCAGAAAAAGAGGCTTCAACATTATTAAAGACCGTGTTCATTGTAAAGAAAATGTGATTAGAAGAAGAACTTATATTTGTGAACATGGACGTAATTATGAAACAAACTCCGAAAAGGAAACAAGTACTAAAAAAATTTTGTGCAAGTGGCATGTTAACGCGTCTTGTCCTAAACTAAAAAACCCCAATTCAGCTATTTTCATTAATACCATCGTCGATGAGCATAACCACCTCCTTAATGTTGATGCTATTACATTTGAAACTGAAAAGAAATTCAGTATAGAGATGATTGAAGATGTTAAATTCCTAACACAACATTGCAAAATGGGATCAATAGCACAAATGAAATATTTAGAGGGGAAATACCCTGCCCATCCAATATACAAAAAGGATTTATATGCTATAATTAGGAGTTTTCGTCCTACAACTATGTCTCTTATGAGTGATGCTACTCAAATGTCAAATTGGTTGGATTCACAAAAAGAAAAAGATCCTAGATAGGTTATAGCAAGAGGGTGGGACGACGACAATGCACTTACATATTTGATATGGATGACACCTGATCAAGTAGAAAAGTGGATTCAGTTCAGTGAATGTGTTTTGAACGACATGACTCATAAGACAAATCGCTATAGAATGGCTTTGTCATTTTTTATAGGATTTGATCAAAATAGGCAAAATATTATACTTGCTCAAGGTTTACTTGCAGATGAGACTCGGTCTTCTCATAGTTGGATGTTTAGACAGATCATTGAGGCTACAAATGTACAACCGACTGTAATTTTAACTGATTCAAACCCGGCTGTTGATGCTGCAATAAGGGAGGTGTTTCCGAATACTTACCCAATACATTGTGCATTCCACATAACACAAAACATCCATAAAAATCTTAGAAAACTATTAGGTGATCAATATGGAAAATTTCTTAGTGATTTTTATCAATGTAGAAATAGTCTTGTTAAAGAGACCTTTTACAAACGATTTAACAAGCTCTTGGAAGATTATCCAAAAAGCAAAAATTACTTAGAATCCTTGTATAAATCAAAGGAATACTGGGCCCATTCATTCACATCTTTTAAATTTACTGGGGGCATGATATCTACATCTCGGGTCGAAGCAACAAATTCATGTCTTAAGAGGCTACTTTATAACTCCAATGTTTCTCTGTATGATCTTGTTTCTGAAATTCATAAATTACTCGATTAACAAGATAAGAAAACTCAATATCAGAATTGGAAACTCGCAATACCATCAATTAGAAATATTGAACGTGTGAACTTCTTGTTCACTGAAGTAGATAAATGTTGTCAAATCTTTTTGACGCCAACAATGTTAAATATGCAACGTGATGAAATGAATCAATTACTTTATTATGTTGCATATTTGGTTAGTGAACAAGATGTTTTACTTAATAATGACATGGATGCTACTCTTTCGAATAATGAAGATGCTGATGATTCTCAAGCAACTATACATCAATTGCTAGATGTTGTTAGTTGTGAAAATGTTAATCAAATCTGGAGTATTTAGGTCGGAAATTCGTTAAATTCAAAGCATTTTGTTGTACTTACGAAGAATGATGCCCATTTGTGTTCATGTCTTATGGTTATTAAACAAGGAATTGTTTACTGTCATTACTTTCAAGTAATGTTGAATACTTACAAGGCTAGATTTCACATAAGACTTATTCCATCGCGCTGGTATAAAAATAAGAAGGAAGTAACCAATGAATCATTCATTGTTGCTGATAAATTTCATGATGATTCTTCTAATTCATCACAAGAAAATAGACCATTGTCTTATTTATATGCTATTAATAACAAGACTATTAATATAGAACAGCGGATGAACATTCTTAAGCAGAAACAAATGTATGAAACTCTTCATGGTATATACAAAGTAGCTTTACAAAAGGCTTTATCAACTAAATCAAAGTCTTAACGTCTTATTAAGATCTTGCAAGAATTTGCAGATGAAAATGATGAATCTGATAAATCCGACCAATCTGATGAATCTTCTGACAACGAATATAGTCAAGATAATTCAAGCGATAAAGAAAATGATGGTTCTAGTCCATTTAATTTACAAAACCCGAAAAGAAAATGTGGAAGAGGAAGACCTTCAAGCACAAAGCGTTTCAAATCATCTTATAAAACAAGTAAAGGTAATGAAAAGAAACAAAGATGGTGTAAAAAATGTGGAGACTTGGGTCATTATCAGAAGAATTGCAATTTTTGAAGTCTTTTGTAAAGAATTGCAATTCTAAGCTTTATTTTGTTCTTTATAGTTATTATGTCGTGTGATGTTTGATCATTCCTATGTATCATATTCTATGCTTGATTATGTCTGCGCTGCTTTATAATTATATTTGATTGATTGATTCTAACGTTGTATCCGTTTGTGTATTAGGTATCATCAGTCTAGAATTGTGTTGCTTAAATATCTTGCCCCAATCATATAGTTATTTCAAATTAAATCATTGAAGCAAGATATTTAGATGAATCTAACTAATTCTAGACTGGTGACGCTTCTAACATTTTTTTTTTTTACAGCGATTAGAGTTAGCAACAGAATTACTATCGTGGTCAATGACAAAATTAAAGTTTGCTTATGTTAGATTAGAATTAGGGTTTAGGGTTTATTTATTACATAGTAATAGTACGAATGCTGATTGCAAACGGGTAGAGTTTGCGAGAAGCTGAAATGATGCGGCTTCGGTCATAGTCAGTGACTAGCTTTTATGAATCACTTGGGACTTAGCCCAGTGCTGTTGACTTAAGTATTACGGGTCATTGGGACAAACGTTCATCACTTAGAAATAGAGAGCAATTAAGAGGTCATTAACTCCCGATACTAAACGGCAGATAGATTGTTTATTCTGAGACAGTAAAATCGGCAAAGGAAATTTTTGTTAGTATAAAAGGTGATTTCTTATACAGACCTGAGTGAAAATAATGTTCGTTTAATTTCTACTTGTGTACTGTTACACTAGATTATTGTTTTATGTGAATTAAATATCTGATAATTAATTACATAGTTAGAGTCACATGATATACCACTGGCGATATATTACTACTGCGATAAATTATAAAAGCCTTTTTTAAAAATTTATTAGTTTTGTTACATAATTTAATTGGTTACAATACTCTAGCACTATTTATATAAAAATTTACTGATTTAATAATAATAATAATATCAACCGGATACCAGAAAACCGGATGGGACCAAGGTGTTTGGCACGGCACTACACCAACCAGGCTATCAAATAACCAGAGGAAGGGTTCCTCCCTTCCTGGCCCTCAGATTGGAAGTTTGGGTTTCTGAAGGTATGGAAGTGAGTCTGTAAAGTAGGTACTGGGGTTTGGATAAACTCTACAAGAGCAGTAGTAGGTAACTGTAGCAGCCAGTATTTGTCCTCAAACTCAGTGTAAGTTACCGAAAAGGTTTAGTCTGGAAATGTATATGACATAAAAGATTAGAGGAGTATATACTACACTCTCCCTAGTGTAACCCATTAAGTATAAGAACCCTATTAAGATATCTATAGAATTAAGCTGCAAGTAGTGTAGCACATATTGATCTGAGTAGTCTTCAATGAAGCAGCATGAGATTATGGGTTGGCATAATTGAGGTGATGGTGCAGGACGGAGGACATCAGAGAGTTTAATTGGATAGCTTAAGTAATAGTGGGTTATAGATATGGCATTTAGTGTAGACTCTAGTAATAGGTAGCTACTTAATTAGATACTTAAAAGATGCAGGTATAGCTAGAATATACTTTCGTTAACCAAGAATCTACTACTAATATACCTAATAAAAAATTCGCCCTTCCATGATATTGTGAAGGTAAAAAAATAAAAAAATAAAAAAAAATAAAAAAATAATAATAATAATATAAATACCTTAAAAAAATATATTAATATTAATATATACATTGAACTTATTTATTTATTTTTTTAATATTTAAAGTAAGATCATGCCTTTAGTTTTTATTAACATATACTTAGATAAATCTTTACATATATGCTAATGTAGCATTACAGAAACTTAGACTAATTTATCTATAACATATATCTACTAGAGTGGTTTATGTTCCATATATAACTTATCTAGCTTAATGTTTCTCAACTAACTATTTCTAGTAATATCACATTCACCCACATTTCATATAACCAGTCATAACTTTCAATTTAATACATCGGGTGTCCACCTCTAATAAGTTTCCAAGTTGGTATATCTGCAAGTATAATTTACTACAATTTCCTTCTAAGGTATTTTATTCATGCAATCATAATTGGTATAGATAGCTTAACAGTCTCAT